TGGTTAAGGGCTCGCGCGCAAGACTGATACGTCCTGGGTTCGAGTCGCGCGGAGGGGTCCGTGGATGCGCACCGTTGAGGAGTCCCATACTAGAATTTGAAGATTCCCCACGGTGGTCTAGCGTCAATTGGCTCATGATTTAACCAATGCTATTTCGTTGATTGTTCTTAGATGCTCAAAATATTTAGGGCAAGCTAGATATATGAGTGAAAATTCATTCGAATAGATTCTCATGAAACTCATCAGGACTGTCATTGCACAGTAATGGATCATTAGAAAAATCAGCATCTATCCAAACCACATCAGGTTTCCGATCATGATTAGGTTCATTTAACATATTTTATCATTAGGAAAAGTCATACCTGGTACAATAGCATGAGAATTCTGATAAATCGGTTGATTAGGAACTGTTGTCTCACAAGAATTCTGGATTTCATCTAACTCTGAACTGTCATATGACTCTGCATTGTCTTTTGAAATCGTTGATAAAGATAAATGATCGTCATGAATACTCGACTCAGTAGAATCAGAATTACAAGACTTAATATTAATTGCAGTAAGATGAACATTAGCATTACAAACTGACTGAACTTGTCCAATATCACGACATTTGAAGCATTTAGAATTATGAAATTTACATGAATTAGAAGAGTGGAACTTGCAACAGGAACCTTGAGTATGCACTAGGTTGAGATGACGTAGTAATGTAGTGGACTTTTTTATATCCTCATGAATCATTTTACGAAATCTTCCTCCTTTACGACATTTGAAATTTGTATACTGAGCATAGTCTAGCAGTAGATCCTTGAGAGCTGTATAAGAAAGCGAAATGGTCAGGCTCCATCGCGACGCCAATATAGTATTCTAATTATAGTATGAATTAGGAATTAAACTATCTAGCTTATCAACTATACCTAAATGTGACTATATAGTTCCATCAAAAATTTGGTATTCACTAACCGTTTGTGTGATTCATTCAATTTTGCTTAAACTACTTTAAATCACTGACAACATCACTGTTTATTTCAACAAATAACAAGAAGAAATGAGTAGTAGTATAAACCGTACACAAACAAACTATTCACAAACATAAGCATCGAATACGATGTTCCAGAACAAGCATACACCATGAATATAATTTGGTATTCACTTTAATATTTTGGATTATAAGTAATGGTAAAATTACTAATACGTGTTTTTCCGCTATGGAATACGTCAACTGAATGTACTTGTACCCTAATGTTGATGGTGACATCGATACTGCAATCCAGTAAGTTCAACTTCAAGTGCCGATGTATCATCTAATGATATGAGTGGTTCAGGTAACTCGTTATTTACTTAACGAGTATTCACAATTTAGTAATAAAACAATACAAAACGTAACGAATTGGCTATCATTATTGAAGACCAAACTGTGTCATGTCATTTATAAATACAGACTGATAGTGGAAATAATTATGTTCTGCAATACAGTGCTAATTGGAAACAAATGATTATAAATACAGTGTACTGACAGTACATTAGTCGGGTATATTATTATTATAGTGAGGTGCAATTATAGAATGAAAGATTTAAGAAATTTTCGGCCTTCATGTAGTGAAATCATTACGATGAGCTTCACTCGACTTGCTTCAGTCGTAAGTAGTATCAGTGCTTCTTAAAAGTAGTTTACTCCAAGGTTCATTTTACAACACCTTACTTAGTACATGGGTTATAATTATTTACTCTAGGTGTTAGTATTACGAATTCATTACGGTTTTACTCATAATGATGGGAACTTGAGTCATTATGTAAACATGCCAACCGTCAACAAAACCGTGAACAACGCAATTTCTCGAGAACATCATTTACCAGTTTATGTATGTTCTGTAGATACTCTTTTGAAGCATTATAAATTATATTTTGCTTTGTGTGCTTGTAGATAATTCTTAAGATATATTAACATTTTAGATGATTTGCATTTGCCTTCGAATGACAGAAAAATTTGTGTTTATGATCTCCAGTTTTAATGGGTATTCAAACACTACCACATTGTCTTCATTTATGTATCTGTACTGTTTAACTACCTTTTATCATTTCAGTAATATAAATACATAATCAGAAATATTCAAGCTCATTAAAAAGTTTGATCTCATCAACTCGTACGATAACTCGCGTTGATACATAAGCGTAACTCAAATAGAATAAAATGCTCTGGTAGCCGCATTACATGGAAACTTCATTTATTTTTGTGAAGTGTTGGCTAATCATCTTGTTGAAAATAAATCAATCTACTTAGCTAGCTCAACTAAACCACCATCATGTCAGGTATACACAAGTCTTCTTCATTATATCCAAACCCATATTATTATTTCTAAAACAATATTTAACGGAATTCGAAGAATAAACCACACAGTGTTAATCATTCCCTGCCTTACTAGGGATCGAGCCCAGAAACTCCAGTGACAATGGATGATGATCATTCAGTAGAATAAACTTTATGTCAAACAAAAGAAGTAATTTCAATTGTTTGAAAATGAGGCGAAGCCTAAAGGTTGTTTTCCCACCACTGATTTGCTGTGAAGATGTTGTCGTAGAGGAGAGAAATGAAAACACAAGGCCATCGATAGCTGTGAGTAACTCAAACTTCTCTACCTATCGTAAGATAAACTCAAAGGGAGAGATAAATAGTCAGTGTGGAGACAATGTGGGGCCCTTAATTTTATCGTCATTTATATCCTACGATGTTGTCGAAAGGCTCTCCACTTTAGTGGCCCGAGATCTGACTCCAAGGTGATATTAATGATGGTTGTTGTTGAGATATATATGTCGCCTATCCTCGCATATAATCATTAACTTTGATCGCGTTAGTCAATAACGGATTTAGATAAGTCAAATAACGAGAATGGACTTTTGGATACAGATGTTTTGTATATGAAGGTAATGGAACAGAGAGAAGAGAGACGACGCGCAGTGGAGATGGCTGGTAAGCCAACACCCATCCAACCAAGCGTTAATCAATATTTATAGGTACACAAAAGTAAGTTACAGACATGTGATGAGTAATGGGATAAGAAGTGTACACACACCTACCAGCTCACATGAAAACACCCATGATTGATAAGCAAATAATTAACAAGGTCAGAATGTGACTCAAGTAGAATGAATAAATTGGGCTGTCCGAAAGCTAGAATAAGGTACTTGGGCTTAACATAATAACCAACACTACAACAATCACAGAACAAGGGTTAACTATAAATGATGAAAACAATGTACAACAGAATAACAGTTACTCATATTAGGGATATTTAAAACTATTCTATCAGATGTTTGTGCTGATGATGCTGTCAAGAAGGAAACTGCAAGCTTCACAATTAAATCATCCAATTCAAACATAGCAACATTATCAAAGCCATTTATTTGAGATATAAATCTTCCTCACTATTTCATAACTTAAAATCCAATTGTTTTAATGCTGCGACAGCATCTAATAGATCACGAAAGTGCACGAAAGCATAATCACGGATTTTTTAACACGTTCAACAGCATCAATTGAATTAATTGCTTGGTTGAAATGATCCTTTACCGCATCTTCTGTTGTATCTAACATTGAATTTCTCACGAATTTGTACGGACCTATACAAAGTGATATCAATATATATATCTTGCGAAATACTATAAGTAGTATAAGTTCAACTATAAAATGCAATTACATTTTCTCATACGAACTCTTAATGTATACCAAATACAATTAACGTTTATACAAAATTACATTTACATATATACACTTGAAAGTTTGTGAAAATAGTGTCTCAACAAATCCAATTATGTACTCTCAACAAGTTCTCAGCAAAGCTGTTTCATGTTGTTATTATAACCGATTTCTATTGTAATTTTTGCTGTAGAGACTAATGTATTCAAAGAAAACATTTTGTGTTGTTTCGTGCATACATATCAGCTTTATTTGTAATGATTTGGATTCGCGTAGCTGAAGAGAGACGACTGCGTCAAGTGTGATTCGATAGGTGCATGCTTTGTTGTACCAGAAAGTATTGCTTTTCCCTTTATGTATTTTGAGACCTACTGCTGCTTAGGCTGCTGCTACACTCGTTGTTGGTGCATGTGTGATAAAAAAGCCAGATGATCTGCGAAGTCCAGCTCGTCCAACTGCATTCTAGCTGTCCACTGTATCCCATCCTTCGTCCCAGATGTTGACGTCTTCATGATCCAGTTTCTTTGACACTGCGTAATTGATTAAAATTAATGGAATATCGCAGTAAAAGCTATACATATGTATTCTCGCCTGGCTTTACAGTGATATCTGTAGAAATTAGGTGAGATGGATTGCCTTAAGACAAGTTTGCAAGAACTCTATTAAGATTATGATGAAATGTTGGAGAGAAGCGCAAAACTCGGAGGAAATTTTGGGGAGAAACGCGAAATTTTTCACAATTTTGAGGTTTCATTAATAAATATAAGCCGACTTCCTCGAAGTGTAATAAGATTCTGGGGAAGTGTGTAGATTCTGGTTTCTGAATTTGATGAAAGATATAATGATGTTTGTTACAAAATCAGTGGATACAATACTTGAAGGATTAGAAATGTAGTGAAAAGTAAGTTAGTATTTTGTATGATTGATTTCTTTTTGTATAAGGAATGGAATTACATGATTTTTTAAAATAATCATATCATATTACGTACCAATTCATAGTAGTAGTATGTTAATTTTTTTGAAAGATTTGTAGGATCAATCGGCTGATTTCATTTAGGTAACTATAAGGGTAAACTCATTTTTAACATAATATTTTCATCAACTTCACATTACGGTTCTGCCTAATCCACAGTAATTTGGTGTCCCCATAAATGAATTTTTCCAGGAATTAGTTTATGTCGAACCATAGCAGCTGTTTTGTGATTTTCATATTCGACAAATGCAAATCATTTATTCTTGCTTTTATCAGCTACACTTGGATAAACAATCACATTTTTCACGCCGTCAGTTACTTTTCACACTTTCAACATTATTCATCTTTTGCTTTCAATTTAGGTATAACACCGATGAATAAATGACAATTATCAATACTGAAACAAACGCTTAATATTTTACCTTTACGAATTTCATAACAATTTAATTCATTTACAGCTCGTTTAGTATCATCACGATTAGTATACATACAAAAAGCATAACCACGATTTAACCCACTAACATCCACCATTAATCGAAACAGATAAAATTTTTTTGACTAGTTCAAATACAGGAACTAGTTCATCTTCAAACCAATCACGTGGTATTTTACCAATGAATGCTCCACAACATTTTGGTGATTTTGGTCCATACCAGTTCGGTGATGGACTATAACAACGTTGATCCATTTTTTGTAATAATGGATAAAATGTTCTCTCTGTTAATGTGACTAGTGTTGGGGTGATCCAGAAAACGTCGTACAGAAGACAAGCAAGGATCAGGAAAACACTAAGAAGCATTTTATCCAATCAACGTTCACTTGTAGTTTATCCAAAACACCAAGAAAGTGAAAAGTCACATGTCGAGTTTCTGATTGTCTGATTAGCATACTGCTACTATGTTAAGTAGCATTTCAGAATCTTCGAGAAACCCAAGGACATCTGAAAATACTATAAAAACCCTATATTTTCTGTACTAAAACGAACCTTTGGAGTAAAGTGCTTCTCGCATAGTTTGCGTCTTTTCTCTCGTGCCCAGGTAGCTGTGTAGTTCTAGCTTGGGGTTTACGAGGATAGCTTCGGAACCGAATGAAGCGTTCAAATTAACAAGACTTATCAGTGGCGACGGGAAAACTACAATGAATATTTCTTTGGAGCAAATAGAAGCTTCTATGGAGCGTCAAGAAAAGAGGTTTGAATAGTCCCAAATCAGAATCATGGAAGCCCTGATGCAGAATTTGTGCCTGTCCCAGCAGAACCCTTCTGGTGAATCACAAGTATCTCATACTGATTCAATCATTAATGCCATTCATACTACTTATATATTTCATATAATATATATATTCAAGTAATAAATAAAATAATTTTACTTTGTATAGATCCGTATATTGTACGTCAGAAATTTAATGTTAGATTGTGGTGGACCAAAATGTATATTAATTGAAAAAACAGCAATAAAGTTATTATGCCCAAAAGTTAATGTAGCAATAAACAACACATAAGATAATAACACAAATAAAAGTTTAGGGAGGTTACTTAAATCAGCAGGTTGGAGCGTGTCCTGTTGGTTATGGTACCAGAATCCACAATTATAGGTAAATAATAATTCCGATGAGACGATATGGCTCCAGTAGTATATCCGGACGTAGAAGGTAATGTGAATGTTACAACAGTCCATAAATATAGATGATTGTTAATTAATCGTTCCGTTATCATATTCACGAACATGATAGCACGAGAGACGTATGTATAGAAGTGTAATTAATTATGGGCAGTTACCAATGTCATGCTATGTGGGATTCGAAAACGGAAGGAAGAATGTTAGTATTCAAGGTCATATACTTGAACAACAAGTGCAATCGATTAATGATAAATGTACAGATTGTGAGAATTGGCAAAATAAATGCAAAAGATATCAAAAACTATCAAAAACAAAATAGGTTTATTACGTCTATCTCCACAGATATGGTTAGACGGATTTAGAAGATAACATCGTTCGTACAGGAACACATTATTATCGATGAACAGTCTTGCGGTGTTTGAATTAACTAATGATTCTTTTGTACTTGTTGAATCATTCGATTTCAAATTCCAAATACAATACATTCGTTTGTGCCTGTGTCTTACTTCTTAATTCAATTGCGTTATTTCTGAGACTCTTATTTCGTACTATAATTCTAATAATTCGAAACATTATACTGGCGTCGCGATGGAGCCTGCTATGGAAAAGTTAGATATTCATTCAACTTCTGAAGCTTTTCAGTATTACTTTGAAAGGTTCGAAATCTGGGCTATGAACAAGGAGGATGATGAGGATGTTAATAGTGTGGCACATTTCCTCACATTCATCGGAAAAGAAGCATACAGCTTATTAAGAACTCTGGCTATGTCGGAAAAGCCTATCTCGCTTACTTCTTAATTCAATTGCGTTATTTCTGGGACTCTTAGTTCGTACTATAATTCTAATAATTGGAAACATTAATGATCCATTACTGTGCAATTGCATTCTTAATAAATTTCATGAAAATGTGTCAGAAGAATCAAATTCTGATGTCATATCATATATTACCTATCTTCATAATGCATTTGATCCTTGTGAAAAACTTGTTCAATGCAAAGCACAAGTACTAAATGACCTCGATTTTGATTACAATTCGGATGTTTTCACATCAACTGCTGTTTACCCTTATCACAAAAACAGTTCTAATGTTTACTCTAAACAATGTGAGAAATATGTATTAAATAAAGCCACATTATTCATAACTTGAGGATATAAAGATCCAACATTATTTCGTGAGGGAGGATAGTGTTGAAAAGTCTATGGTTCGAATTCTAGATATTAATGATTTCATTACAAAACCAACATGCTGACTGTATACAATTCCAGGTGAGTCTGTTCCGATTTCGTTTGTTAATTCCAATACCAATGAGCACATTCTAGATACTACAAAGGTTTTATCCAATACAATGTCGGACAGACTCAGGATGAACTTAACAAGAAGACGCACAACCGATTACAGACACTTATACTCCTATTTAAGCTGTGGCGGATGTGGTGTTTGAATTAACTAATGATTCTTTTGTACTTGTTGAATCATTCGATTTCAAATTCCAAATACAATACATTCGTTTGTGCTTGTATCGTAATTGTTGATTCAATTGCGTTAATTCTAGGATTCCTAGTTCAAACTACAATTCAAATAATTCAAATATTACAAGTCTTTACTTGGTTTGAACAAAACATGTACTTCTAACGTCCTCCTAAATCTATTCGGGTTAGGGACTGTCACTTGACGATTCAGTCAAGATTGCTTAGTTGAATATTGCACATGATCATCTCATCTACTTCAATTCTACTTATCTAATATGCGTTGTCTCACAAGAAATATTCTTTTAAAAAACACACTGAAATAGTAGTGCAAAGCATCTGAATATTTCTGATGACCTCAGTTGTTTGTAGAAATTGCAATGATTATACTTTCTCTTCATCTATCACCTCATTATATTTAATTATTCAAATAATATGGTATTGTCTATTGTGTCGTGGGCGTGATATGAAACTTTGTTAGAATAATGAATACCGCTTTCTAATTATGTGTTTATGTGACTGACAGTCATCTACTCACACAGAACAGAGATGAATGGAATTCTCATTTTACAAAACATTACTGCTTTTGTGAAAAGCAAGTAAATTGCAAACAAATATTTTGGCAGTCAATTCATAGTTAGTCTTGCTTCAGCTATGAATAAACACTGTAACCATTTACTATCCAATTCCGAATTAGTCTAGTGATCGTTTTCTTATAGAATCCACCTTGATAAGTATCACAACTCATTGTTCTTTATTACTGCATTCTCTCATCTGGAGCCACTGATCACATTTCACTGTAACAACGAGAGCTAGTATGAATTTGATCCAATAATTTATCATTCCTATGTCTGTTCCACTACAAAATGTTAAGCATTGTTTATCGTTCATATCCAAGTGCTTTGCTGCTCCTCGGTTTCTTATTTTCAGAATCTTGCTCTGAGGGCACAGTTGTGGAACTAACGATATTTAGAACAAACTTGATGTACGCGTTTTTCTAAGGCAATAGTTCACACCAAGCGCTCTACAAGTCTAATTTATAACAACTACAAACTGAAGAAGTTGCGTTGCATAAATGATTAGCACGACCAACATCCTAACACAATTATGACGAGATTGGATCTGGTGTGTAACGAGGACGCCATGCCACTTTGGAAAATATTTTCAAGACTACTCAGTATATCTAAAGGAATGAACTGATCTTCACTTTTATAGATTATATTTAACAACCCTGGTTGGGATGCATACAGTGAAACAATGAATGTTGTAATTTGTAATTCATGCCTGTAGAAATGGCGTGTACCTGCCATAGCAGAAACATATATCATTATTATTGAATAAATAACTAAGAGCATTAGAAGAATGTATCTACAATTAACCTACTATGTTTACACAATCCAATGTCTGTGCCATGATGAGATCAGAGCTGGGACATCTCTAAGTTCTTTATTCAGCTTCGCTGAAATTTTACTTCACCATTACCAAAATAACAAAGCGATTGAATTCCTCTAGCAAATCGTATTACTGTTCAGCTTTTCACATTTAAACAGGCAATCGATCATTTTTTGTGCATGTCTAATCTCACCGTCTTTTGTTTCATTCAAGTTCTCTTTTCAAATATACGATTATTCTAATGCTGAGATTTACTGCTCTAACGTTTAGTCAAAATAACCGTTTCGCATCTCATCTGTTCAAATGTCTAATTAGTTATGACTTCTGAAAATCTATATAACACTTGAACCAGTATTCTTGTCATTACTGTTGTCACCATTATTATGATTACTTAACAGTCGTGTCTGCAATTACAGTTAATTGTATCGTTTAGTCAACCCTATGAATAACAAATTGAACTTGTTCACTGCGATTGATTGTCTACTGCACGTTCTGTCTGAATATAGAAGCAAACGTGCATGGTTTTGTGGAGAAATTACAATTGATAAATCACTGAATGTTAGCCAACTTTTTATTTGTCTTATCTTTTATTATGGATCGGATTTCAACAATTAATGAATTGTAATGAAATTCAATTAATTATAAACATCTCAAAAGTACCAGAAGCCAGTTATGGGTCTAAATAGCTCGATGATTACCCCTCAGACTGTTTATTTGGATAGCACGAGTTTGAATCTGTTTGGGAGCGTTAGACCTCAATAACATGTAGATACACTTCGTTCATTAGTGTAGACTAAGACGAATTACGTTCAGCATCATTCGATTTGAAACAGTTGTTTCGGCAAATATGTTTGTTTTTTGCTCATATCTTATGAAATCAGTCTGACGTTTGTCTAAGCTCAATATTTGCAAAGTGTTTATTCAATGTTCAGATATTTCGACACGACTACCGAATTCACAAGCTTTTGTAAAGAAATCGACTCGAAATCATATGTTTATTTTGAGTCGGTGACTGCGAATCCTCATATGGGGTATCACTGAGTGAGGTGCTCTGACTCATTACAGAGCAATGATGACGTTTTATTCTAATGAATGCTGAATATTCTAATTTATTTACGAGTTGATGTTTATCAGTATTGCTGTATGTTTAAAAGTCAATGCACGACGGTGTTTCCAAACCTGAAATAATCAAGGACAAAAATGGGTGCCG